CTTCAACTCCATTGACACTCCCCGGCAAAAAAGGGATCCAACCCTTTTTTCCTTCCCGATCAATGCACGTTGACTTGGATGCCATTGAGAGAACCTGGGTCACACGGACAGAGCTGAAATGGAAAACAAACAGAAAAGCCAACACACCACAAGCATACCCACAGCACAATCTCACACATCGCTGACGACCTGCGCCTCCAGATAGAGACCTCCTCTTGACATCTTCCAACACAGTCTCCACTTGCTAGAATGACTCTTGCAGAATGCAAAGTGACCATGGCAGCACCTCACGATACTCTACGCACATCCTCTTATCTACTCATTACCAATTACCACTGAAATCGCTTGTCACTCATTCTGCCTCAGTTCTAGTAGCGGTGACGCATGCGAGCCTCAGTCGTTTACACTCTCCCTCCCCGGCGTGTCGGACCGCAGCTAACAATTATCTCCGTGTGCATTTCATTCTCAGCAATAGCCTAGCCTCCCCGGCGTATACGACCCATCTGCTGTCCTTAACATCAATCAATTCATTCATGGATGTAGAAGACTCGAAACAACTTCAGAAGTAATCACGACGAAAATTTTAACAAAATTACGCAATAACAACAAGACACGAAAACAACAAGTAAACACAATGAATCCAAAAACACCAATTGATATGACACACCACACGTATATACAAATAGTACAAACAACCTCGCCGATCATGTCTTGGTGGAATTCCTTTGAAGAATTGTAGGACTTACAGCAGTACGCCTACAACCCTTCTCAGGTTGACGCTCTAGGTTGGAAAATCGTCGCAGAGTTCATTTGCTAACTTCCTTCTATGAGCTATATCCTCAAATCTGAACGGTAACACGCCCATGTCATTGTATCGTAGAATATAGATGACCAACAAACACACGACATATCTCATCAACCAAGTATAGAAACAGAGTAATTTACACCAAAGATAATAACATTCAAATAGTAACTTGAAACTAGAAATGCCTTTATTCGTGCAAGTCAATTTAACAATAACTCTCTCCTTTACACTTGGCTTATCCACACTAAACTGACCATTGATATTCGTCCTTTCAAACGAACTGATACTAGCATAGTCATTGCACAAGATACTTGAGTTGATGGGTGTCTGTTTCATTGTGGATGACAGCACCAACGACGACTGAGTGACACAAGGTGATGAACTTAGTGGTGGATCAGAAGCTGTTCTTGTTCGGCTCTCAGATAGTTGTCCAACTGCAAGATTACCACCACTGCTGTCTTTCACTACTAGTTCGGGTTTAGCACTATCATCTGATGATAGGTGGGCTACATGCTGATCAATCACGCTGACAGTCTCACAAGTACGCATGCCTTCTGCAACTGCACCTGCACTTATTTCTACTTCACGTTGTAGTTGTACAGAACCTTTATTTAACTTAGCGGTAGTAGGCATATCCCTCATCTCATCATGATCAACCAAAGACAACTGTAAAGTATCATGATCATTATCACGAATATTCACTTTACCGTCAACTTCATCATTTTCAAACTCTTTAATAACAGAAGTAGACAATTTTGGTTCCTCCTCACAAATCCTCAAAGGTTCTATATCTTCAATCTGTCTAGTAATACCTTGTAAACTTGTAGGGTCAGAACTGCACTCTGAAGCAGCAACTCTATTCTGTGACACTTTATTCAACAACGGCTTACCAGTTGCAACTACAGACTTCTTCACCGCACCGTTATCGTCACACAATTCGGAGTCAGACCTGGAGTTTACATTTAGCTTATCTCTGAACTTGCTCACTGGTTCACAGTTCACTTCTGTATGCACCTCTTGCACACGTGTAAAACAAAACCGTGTTTGTCTTGCATCTTGTAACTTATCTGTTGAGGATGTACTACAAAACCTGTTACACTCACTAGGTCTATATGCATTACTAGACATCATGGAGTCTTCTCGATATCCACCTCTCTGAGGCATATTCGTCATCAATGATTGCATTTTGATCTCAGACTGCTCTATTCTAGGGGTGAGATGTAATAGACTGGCGAACTTGCTCATCGATTGTTTGACACTAGTATTTACCAGTTTCAGGATATCATCAAACTTTGGCTCGATACCCTCATCCTCCATACGGGAGCTCATCTTCACCCACTTCCTTTGCAGTCGAGTAGGTAGACGTCTTGCTATTACTTCTAGTATAAAACTCGAGTTGAGGTCACTCATGAAATTCATCGAAATCATTCCATTCTTGTAAATTAACAAATTATCTAAAAACTCAGTGAGTGCCTGGGAGTCATCCTGTAATTGACCACCATTACCCTTAACAGCCTCGAATAATTTCCCTGCAATCATCGAAGGTCTTCCAAACCTTTGACGTAATATGCTCATAGCCTCATCGTAGCCCTCTTTTGGCTTCATAAACTTACAACACTGTATAGCTCTTGAAGCATCTCCAGTGCAATATCTCATCAAATACATTAACTTCAATTCATCATTTAATGAAATACCACTCAACATGATCTCAAACTCCTTTACAAATTGTAAATAATCAGCCGGGTTTCCGTCGAAACACCGTGGTTCAAACTTAGGGAGTTTGATGTTCCTATTATCCCTGGACGGCGAAACAGTAACATCAACCATGTCATACTTAACATCAGACACATCGTTACAATCAACAGACAAGTCACCATGACTTACTTTCCTGTTTGCATCCAAGACACTCTGTCCCTTCTTTGACCCAGGCATTGTTGAACTTGACCCAATTCCAAAACTGTTCCAGATATTGCTTGTTCAAAGAGGACTTGACCGGCACCAGGAAAAATGAACGGCGACTATCCAAACTTTCACCAACTGTTTCAATCCGCCAGATCTGTTTCCATCGTCAGAAACTGTCAATCACGTCTCATAAACCGTTAATGCCCAGCTCTCGCTACGCTCGGGCCCACGCTGTTCCCTTGAGTTTTCAGAAACGCTTAGTTATAACGGACGAAAACCCAAAACACCGATTTGCCGTTTGATATTTCTGTATTGTTACACCAACATATAAAAGGAATAAGCGAACTAAGCAAACTAAGGTTTCTGACGATGTTTCACTCTTCTTTCTGAACAGCGACCGATGAGACGATGACTGTCGTATTGATGCCTCCGCGAAAATTGGGGAAGTTGATTTTGAGCAAACAACCAAGAATCGATCGTTCAATCTTCAACTCCATTGACAGCTTCATCGATGAAGTATTTCGCGGTCTCGACTTTGTATACGCATACTTAGACGACTGCCTCATCGCCAGTCCAGACAAGGAAACTCACCTCAGGCATTTGCACTTGGCATTTGAAAGGCTACGCCAACATGGTGTTGCCATTAATATTCAAAAATGTCAAATCGGTGTTGACTCACTCGACTTCCTGGGTCACACTATTGACTGCAAGGGCATTCGCCCACTGGCTACTAAAGTTGAGCCTCCTAAGAAAAACCGTTCTGGACGCACCGTAAGGTTCCCAGAACATTTTCACACTTATTTGACTTAACGAAGTCGTGTGATTCACGCAACTCACTCGTTTGTGGTACTAACTATTTTTTTTTGACGTATAAATTTTTTTTATATACAGTACCACCGAACACAAAAAAATTGTCTTTTCTCAACAGTTCATGTAACATACACAAAAATTTAATTAGATGTATTTTTTTTCTCGATGTTCTGAACTTAGCAATATTTTACTGTATAGTAAATGCACACAAGTTTTTTTAACCAAAAAGCTCATTTCGTACATTTTCCTCGACATAGTTCTTAGCGTTCTTGTGTTCCTTTCCAGGTGCGACGGGCACTGGACAGGAAACAAACGAAGCACGGAGTCCAACGAACAACACCAGGAAGCTATGTACAAACACCCTACTAGCATAGGCAGACAAACCAGTAGGCATAAGACCAAGCCGCTCGGAAGATTTTTTCACCCGAAAGGGAACCATCGAGTTTTTTTTACTTCCGGCTGGTTCTGTCTTAGGTCCTCACGACCCCACTAAGGGGGGAGTGAGCTGTAGCGGTAAATAATTCCCCAAAATTATTGACCACAGCAATCACTCATTGGATGCTGTCCACCACTGTTTAAGTCGGCTTGTTTAGCCGAAGGCTTCCGGTCAAGCATCCCCGCCATTTGGTACTCCGTCGTGTCACGTGCACGATCACTAGCTAGCTAAGCGTTCGTCTAACAGCTTGTTTTTGTTCCTAAATATATCTCTTGGTTTGGACGATCAATTATTGGCTTTTGCTTTGTCTTTGGTACGCGAGAATAAATTAATTAGAAGTTGTTGAACGAGATATCCGTCAACCTTTAAAATACCACTTAGTAAAGAACAGACACGACATCTACTACAATTAATTCCAGTGAATATTGATAGTAACTACCTACTGAATTAGGGATATCTTGTTCTTTACTTTTTGTTGCCCAGTTAAAGCTTCTTTATGACTGTTTCCTTTTCTCACAGATACTTCAATGATGATCAAGTGCCAGATTACGGTAGTTTTTCGGCAAACATAAATACTCTATTACTTTTGTCAATAGGTAGGTAATATAGACCATATATATGGTATTTGCTAACCTTAGCCAAGTATTTTACAGCATGTTAAATATTCAGGCTGCAGAAAAATTAAATACTTCGTACAATAATCGATCTGAATGTCTATGGAATCTGCTGATTTAGATGATAAATGTAAGCATAATGGAACTCAAAATAAATTCTCTGCCTATCTCCTTCCAGTACCACTCACACTGTATTATGTACCACCACAGAAAAAAAGACATTAGTTCAGAAGTACAGTCATTCACTTAACCTCGCCCAGCGAACAAAATGAATCTTCAAAATTCACTTTAAGGGTATCAGGAGACCCCTCAGCTGGTTAGCGAGGACTCGCAGGTGTAGGAATAGCACTCACTGTTAGGGCAGGAAAATCACTTCTTGGCTGGATCCCAGCAGAAAGTCTTATGTGTTGCAATCCATCTGAATGGGGCCAATAGTTTACAGTTTACAATTTATTTAGGATAGTAGGCTATATGCCTGTGTTAATCCTTTCGATTTATTGCATACAGGAGGTCCAATCTCGCCTTGAATGAATCAACGGATGGCGCTGATACGACGTGTTCCGGTAGGGAGTTCCAATGGTTCACAATTCGATGCGAAAAACGGATCTCCAGACGCAGACGATTCGACCGTGGTTTTTGAACCTTGAGGTGATGTCCTCGCAATTGGTTGGTGCTAGAAGGAAGAAATAATTTAGATAAATTAGCTCCAAAATCATTTCTTAGGATACGGTATGCTAGTATTAGGTCACCCCTAAGTCGTCTGTATGACAGTGGAAATAAACCCAGTCGACTTAACCTCTCCTCATATGACAGGGTTGAGAAACCCTTTATTAGCTTAGTTCCTACTCTTTGCACCCTTTCTAATAAGTCTATTTCGTATTTGAAACACGGGCTCGCTGCCTGGATCCCATATTCCAAATGAGGTCTGATATAAGTCGGATATAATATACGAAATATATCAGCGTCAAAGTTCGCAAAAGCCTTGCGTATGGCCCATAACATTCGAAAACCCTTAGTGGCTGCAGTTCTACAGTTTGTTGCTGTTTTCAAGTCATGCTGCACAACCACTCCCAAGTCCTTGTACTCAGTGACCACTGGGAGAGTAATGCCATTCATTGAGTAATTGTGCACGTGACTATGGGATACATGCATAACTACACTCTTGCTTAAGTTAATCTCCAAGGCCCAGTGCTTACACCAATCACTTAACAAGTTTAAATCTTCCTGCAAAGCAAGTTGATCACTGTCATCGTGCAAAGCCCTCCATATCTTGATGTCATCAGCAAACAGTAAGCAGGATGACTTAACTACCGATGGAATCTCATTAACATAAATCAGGAAAAGAAGTGGGCCTAGAATTGTACCCTGAGGAACGCCACTCTTAACCGATTCCCATGTTGATAAAACCCCGTTAACTCGTACTCTTTGTCTTCTGTCCTTTAGAAAGTCTTGAATCCAGTCGGTAACCACTTTATTGATTCCCAGACTACCTAACTTTACTAGAAGACCTGAATGAGAAACCCTGTCAAACGCCTTGCTAAGGTCTATGAATATGGCATCCACCGGTATATTAGCATCAGCTGAGCTTGCCCAACTTTCTCTGGCCAAAAGAAGGTTGGTCAAGCAAGAATGACCTGCTCTAAAACCGTGCTGTTCCACAGCGAAAAGTTTGTTCCCTTCAATGAACTGAATGATAGCATCACGAATTATTCTTTCTAGTAGTTTAACAACAATACTGGTCAAACTAACAGGACGATAGTTCTGAACTAAGTTTCTAGATCCGGTTTTGAAGACCGGACTAATGATGGCATCTTTCCAGTCTCTTGGACATTTAGACTGGTCCAGAGACATATTGAAGATTACCGACAATGGCTCGGCTATGCTTTCAGCCAATGCTGTTAATATACGTGGGTGGAGTTCATCAGGGCCACTGGACTTACCAGGATTGAGCCTTAGAAGCCACTTTAGGACAGTATCCTTTCCAATGTATAAGGGTGCCATTTTCAAGTTACCTTTTGGAAAATTTACAAAGCTGGTATCAATATTATCAGAGAATACTTGACTAAAGTGCTTGGACAAAGCCTCAGCCTTAGTCAAGTTATCCTCAGCCATGTTTGTCTGGTCATCTTCAAGCATAAGAGGTGGGATAGCATCACTCTTACGTGTTCTTCTCTTGATATATGAGAAGAGTCTTTTTGGGCAGCCTGGTGAACTTTTAACTAACTGGGTTTCGTAAGCTATCCTTGACTGGTGGATCAAAGTTTTACACTGGTTTCTGGTTTCACAGTATTTCAGCCGGAACTGCTGTAGCCCAGTAGAAACAAAGAGATTCCAGAACCTTTTTCTCCGTCTCAGGAGTGTTATAGCTTGTCTATTTATCCATGGTGGCCGATTTGTTGGCCTTTTAGGAACCCTCCAGGGGATGAGATCAGTGGTAACCCTCTCAAGTGTATTCTTAAATCTATCCCATTCATCTTCAATGGATGAGACAATGTTGACTGACCAGTCGGCAGTTGAAGCACGCTCCTTTATAGCCACTATGTCAGCATGCCAAACACTAGGCCGGGATTTGGGTTGAAAACTGACTAAATTGCCAGCCCTTAAGTTAAAATCTAACACCCCATGATCACTGTTTGCTAGAGGTGGATGAATAACTAGACCATCCACGTCGTCGTTGTCATGAGTAAGCACTAAGTCCAGCAAGGAAGATCCTTGGGTAGAACCGAATCTTGTACTACCTAAGACATGTTGTGTCAGGGCATTTTCCATGGTTGTCAAGAGTAACCGGCTGTCAAACTTATCAGCGGATCCTGGAGATGTGACAGCTACCCAGTCTATATGAGGTGCATTAAAATCACCTAGAATAAGACAGCTACTGTGTTTACTCCATTGTTTGAGGTGATCTAAAATGAAGTCATCACACTGACAATAGGGACTTCTATACAGAACTCCAATGAGTAGAGTGCCGGTTGCAAAGCTTACTTCACAGCTAATTACCTCACCTGTCCCACTGTCATGAGCTTCAGATTTCACGGAACGAACATGTAGGGAGTTGTTGATGTACAGAGCAACCCCGCCACCTCTACGACCCTTAACTCTGTCGCTGCGCAAGCAACTAAATCCGCATAGCTCAGGTGTGTCATCTAATCCCGAAACCAGCCATGTTTCAGTAATGGCCACAATACCTGGGCTAAGGTCTTCTACTAATACACCTAGCTCGTGAAATTTGTTCCCGATACTACGTATATTAGTGTACACTACCTTCAGGCTTCCTATGCGGTCTGGCTTATCCACACAGGTCTTGGAAGCATACGTTTCCAAGACCTGACTATTTGAAAACCCACCAGTTTAAGGTTAGTCTCACCATTTTTACGTCTTGTTTCTAGCTGGGACAAAACTTCTTTTCGTTTAAGTCTGTCTTCAAGAGATAAATCAGGTCTGGCTGAAATTCCTGACCCGGCAAGGTTGTGTACATTAGCCAGTAGAAGGAGGAAAGACGGCGTTACCTGGCATTGTCTTTTCGTAGTCTCCACTAACGCCCCAACAGACTGAGATGGCTAGGTCACGTGCTACGCATGCCTAACCATCGCCTCCCCCGACGGGCATTGCTAGCTGATATAGGTGCAGGTTGGAAAAGGGTAAGTGGTGGCCAAACAAAAACATGGCATCAATCCATGAAATCCTTGACAGTTAAACTGAGTCAGGTAGGGAGATGCAGACTCCCGGGTTGGGGCCCTCGGGACTCTAGGAATCAATGGCTGGAGACAATAGGTGACATGCTGCACTTCGGTGCCAAATTCTATGTTGAATCCAGACAGACAGACTGCAGTTCGGATGAGCTAAAAGATGACTTCTACCTGAAACTGTCTAATTTGCTGCAAACAGCAAAACGCTTAGATATAGTTGTTTTAGCAGGTGACTTCAATGCCCAAGTAGGGAAGTTGTGCCAGACTGAGAAGTACGTAGGTGGCAAGTACGGAGTTCCCTGCCGACGAACCGACAACGGTGATCGTCTTCTACAGTTTTGCTCAGATTATCATCTGTTCCTAGTCAACACTAACTTAAAATTAGTGTTGAGTACAAAGAGAGACACTGCATAACCTGGCGACTTCCATCACCAAATCAACGCTGGACTCAGGTAGACTACATAGCCATAGGGTATCGTCGGTGAGGTTCAGTAGAAGACTGCTGCTCCTTCTGGAACACGTGTGTAGACTCTGATCACGCTCTGGTTCGCGAACGTTCATGCTTACGACTAAACGGAAATAAGAAATTAATGGCAGCGAAACAGTTACGTCCCCAACAAGATCAAGACACTGAGTCCCTATTTAAGGAAGAAATAACGAAACGTGTATCTAAGGTCGACAGCACGACTTCCCTTGAGGTAGCCTGGAACAACATACAGTTAGCTGTAGACACAGCTGCAAAAGCTGTTAATAAGCTAAAACCGAAAGTTAGTAAGAGTTATTTGATCGCTACTATCGCATCTGAACTCGACTCCAGAGGTATTTAGGCATTTTTTTAAAGTTTTTTTTATTCTGATTACAAATTGATTCCATACCGTATTTTTGGCGCAAGTAGGGGATTTTAAGCACGCGATTTCGGTAGCCCGAATTTTTCAGGCCGACAATTGATATCAGGGATGCGTCGGCAGCGGATTGAAACCCGGACCATGTGCATGGTCGGTGAGATTCCTAACTTCTGTGCTACCGGCGCGGAGACAGTATACTGTCTGCGTTAACCAAGGTACTAGGCAGAATCTGGGAATCAGAGGGGGTCCCGTCAGGTTGGTATAAGTCATTGATTACCCCGATATGCAAAAACGGAGATATATCAAACGGGAGATCAGCTTGACCAATATAGTGGTATCTGAAATTCTAGACTCAATAACCATGCGTAGACTAAGAGGTGCTCGAGAGGCAATAACACGAGAGAAACGGACAGGCTTTAGACCGGGAAGATGTTTTAATCGTACCTTCACCCGTCGACAGATTTTGGAATAGAGGCAAGAAAACCAGGTGGTATCATAAAAAGAAATTTGCATACAAAAGTACTTGGACAGGACAGCTTCGTTCCTCTCAAATACAAAAGAAACTTAGTAAAGACCCTCAGCCAAAGAGTTAGAGCTATATGCTCAGAAGAAGTAATTGATGATGAATTAAGCATTGTATATGATACTTAGATCAAAAATAGCCAACCCGACAAACTTATCAAGAAAAAAATGACAAAGAAGGCGGAAAAGGACTACTCACTATCCGTAAACAAAGAGCCTCTTTATTTACGACTGCAATTCAAGGGCGATATACCAAGTAAAATAATTACGAAGAAATTAAGAAAATCAGTTCAAAGAACTTTTAATGCTGGCGAACTACCCGTCTATCGACCAACGGACGCGTGTACTGCCCAACAGAAGTTCATTCCGTCCTCCTTTATGGCTGTGAGACCTGGTCATTGAGAGTGGAAGACATGAAAAGCCTGGCTAGCTGTCTTTGATCATAGGTGCCTGAGTTCTACCTTCGTGTGAACTGGTATAATAGGGTAAGCAATATTGACCTCGGTCGAGTACTAGGTAAGCAGGGAAAATCAATAAACGAGGCTGTGAATTTACATCGACTGAGATAGTTAGGAAATGTGTTACGCATGCCTAGCAATTCATCGCCTTCGTCGACCGACGACGGGCAATGTTAGCTGACATAGGGTCAGCATGGAAAACAACTCTTAGTGGTGGAAAAACCAAAACATGGCTTCATCAGTCAATGAAGAAATCTACGACAGTTAGTTTAGGCCAGCCACGACGGGAGGTGTAGACTTTCTGCCGGTTGGGGTACTCGGGATGTTAAACAACAACGAAGGCTGGAGATAATTGGTGATATGGCGCAAAGTCGTTCTAAATGGCTGGCACAGACGCATCCACTCTTTGTGATTTATAATACCCTATTGAACTATATTATTCTTCGATATTACTATTCTTCTTGTCTCATATCTCTATTTTGCATCGCTTTTTACTTTCTTCGCTGGCCTTGTGTGCCGAATGAAGCATGGCGACTTGAACTGCTGCACATAGGTGGAAAGTTCTATGTTGAAACCAGTCGGTCAGTCCAGAAGTTACTAGCCTGTGTGTTGTATAAAGTATCTTTATAAACACAACTCTACATTTTCACTTTACCATGTTTATTTAGGCTTCATTTCATTTTATCCGTTATTCTCAAAAAGAGAGCGATTTAGTTAAGCTTAATAAGTGGCCTAAATGGCAAAGCCACTTGACACTTAACTATGAGTATAATCACAAATATTTAAGTTTTTTAATTGCATTTCATACTAAATAATAATAATTTTTCCTTCACGTTCCCAGTGGAACATAGGGCTCCAAGCTAGTGGCTTGAGGTTTCTGTAGCAGTGTTTAATTTTTACAGGATGGGGTTGCTAGCCTCATGCCCAACCTTTCCTCTTTACCAGCATTATTTCTGGCTCAGCGAGGTAAAGGAGTGCGCCGGCCGGGGATCTAACCCCGGACCATATGCATGGTCGGCGAGCGTCCTAACCGCTATACCACCGACGCATTTCATACTACTATTATTATTATTATTCTATGCATTCACACCTACTCTATATATGATATTAATTTGCTTTGCCACTTAGTTAAGCGTCTAACCAACAACTCCAAAAGAAAATTCTAAGTAGGACCTCAAAATCTATCCTATCATTTTTTTTGATGGATTTTTCACACAAGAATTTGAGATTCGGGCACTCTTGAATAGAGGTAAGCAAAATAAGACAATGGGATCACTGTTTGTAAGTAATATAAATTATCCCGTAAAAATTAAATAAAGAGAATCTCAACAAAAGTCAAAATATTGCAAAGAAAAAAAATAACTTATTGACTATAACACAAATAGGAAAGGAATTCAGTCATCCACGTTTTTGAGATAATGTAGAACTCCGTAGATTAAAGCATCAAAGTGGGTAGTACAAAAGTTAATTTACAAAACGCAATGAAATATAAACTGTATAGGGTGGACTGGTTTATTATAAAAGATGGGCACCAAAAACCAGTCTCACTGAATATCTCATTATGTCCTGCTTTGCCAATATCAGTTCCATTTAGTAGTGTATTTTTGGCGTCAACCACAAAAGAACGCTGAACGTGGGAGATGTGGGAAAACTAGAGGTTTCAATTATATAGTTATCGTTATTCAGTTGGTATCATTGGATGAGGAGAAATATTAACAATCCATAAGGTTTGGTGTGCATTCCTAGGTAAGGAGGGTACACCTACCGAAAAATTTATGAAGCTTCATCCATCGAAGTGACTAGAGTGTGTTAATCACCTCAAGTTACACCTACCTTCATGCACAAGCCATGCTAGCTGAAATGTAAGCAAGTTGGAAAGGAGTTTTAGGTAGCCAGATCAAATCATGCCAGCTATCCCTGAAGTCACTTTATCTTGGTTTAAGCCATGTAGGCAAGTGTAAGTTGCTCGGCTGTTCTTAGTAGTGTTAAAAATCTGTGGTCGGTGACTGTTGGTGGTGGCATCGCTATAATTACTTCATAGTGGCAGAGATGCATTTAATCTGTCTTTATATTGATTTTGAAAATCCTCATAGATTTTCACTTAAATATTCTCCCACTCCTATATTTTCCATTATAGAAGTGTGATTTACCCACCTGTGTAGTGCGTCTCTCGGCTTCCGTTGATCCACTGTTGTGCATTATTTCAAGCTGGTTCATCAGCCAATATAGTACATATATTTTATTTCAAATGCTGTTTCTAGGGCTAAGGGTATCAGTTAATTAGTTATGCATCACATCTCAGCAAATTTGTCAATGTAACAAAACAGCCAATATGATTATTTTTAGATACTTGTAATATCCTAACTGCCAACAACCAGATAACAGATCGATTAGAAGGCATTATCGAATCATCCTTAATAGGAGCCGACATGTCAACACAGACGAAACATTTCGATCCAATAGAGCCATTATTCCGTAAGAAATTCAAAAACTCATTTACTCACTACATACATTCTTTTTGTGTATAAGAGACAAGTGTAGAATAGCACAGTAAGCGTTGTGTAAATACCAGTATTTCTTCATTAAATGTGCAATTACACCGTTACGATATTAGCGCACGAGTTTCTGAGGTCGACAGCACGACTTCCCTTGAGGTAGCCTGGAACAACATACAGTTAGCTGTAGACACAGCTGCAAAAGCTGTTAATAAGCTAAAACCGAAAGTTAGTAAAAGCCATTGGATCTCTGCCACGTCATCCGAACAGATTAACGTATAAAGACTGATTCCAACGAGCTCCGACTACGATGTGGACCGAAAGCTACTCAAACGAAAAGTAACAGGAAGTCTTCGCAACGACCGTGAACAGTGGTGGGCGACAAAGGCGAAAGAGATGGAAAAGCATCGGCGATTAGCAACACCAGAAAACTATTTAGGCTTATCAGGGAAACAGGTGGGAAAAGGATAAGTGAAACAATCTTGGAGAAAAATGGCACCATAATTAACTCCCAGGATAGACGACTGGAACGCTGGAAAGAGCACTATGAGGAGAAGCTTAATTGGCCTACAGCTACACTCAACCTGATCAACATCCAACACCTCCTGAGTGGGACATACACATAAGTCCTCCGTTCCTAACTGAGGTTACTGAAGCTGTCACCAATCTGAAACAAGGCGAAGCAGCGGGACCTGATGGAATGACTCCAGAGGTATTTAAGTACTGTGGAGACAGCTTACTGTCTGCATTGACTCAGGTTCTAGGCAGCGTCTGGGAATCAGAGGAAGTCCCACTGGGTTGGTGTAAGTCACTGATCATCCCGATAGACAGGAAGGGAGACAAGTCTTCCTATGATAATCAGAGGGGGATTAGCTTGACTAATATGGTGGTATCTAAAGTACTAGGATCAATAATATTGCGTAGACTAAGTGGTCCTTGGGAGGCACAAACACGAGAGAGCCAGGCAGGCTTTAGACCAGGAAGAGGGTGTATTGATCACATCTTCACCCTCCGACAGATTCTAGAACATAGGCATTCCTACCGGTCTTCAACAATCATTATATTCCTTGACCTAAAGCCGTCATTCGATTCTGTCGACCTAGAGGTTCTCTGGAGATACTTGGCTGTAAAGGGAATACCGAGAAAATACATCGCACTGATCAAGTCACTCACTCTACTCGAACTCATGCAGCCAGGTGAGGGCTTACGGCGACTTGTCATCTGAAGTGGTGATGACTAGTGGTGTCCGTCAAGGGTGCCCATTATCCTTATTTCTATTCAACTTCATCATAGATGTACTGATGGACTTAACCCTAACTCACTTCACAGACTCAGGGATTGACTTGCTACCACCAGGGAATAATCTCGTTGACTTAGAATATGCAAACGATATAATCCTTCTAGGCGAAGACGTTAACAAAATGCAGATACGGTCTTCTGAACACCTTGAGCTGCGATCTACGAATGTTTGGCATGCGAGCGATTCGCTCCCACCAAATGCAAGATGATGTTACAGGACTGAACTACATCGACGCCTAGTTTAAAAATAGGAAGTGAAGTGGTAGAGCACGTTGACCGCTTCACTTATTTGGGAAGTCTGTCTGTCTGTCTGGATTCAACATAGAACTTGGCACCGAAGTGCAGCAGTTCGAGTTGCCACGTTCCAAATAGCCCACAGAGGTAGACAAAAAGATGAGTGAAGAGAATCAATAAAATTTGACAAGTATAAGAGTGAAACAGAATGGGTAATTGTAGAAAGGAATATGAAAGATTACAAAGACTGAATACATCTGCGCCATTGACAACGATTTTGAGACATGTCACCTATTGTCTCCAGCCATTGATTCCTAGAGTCCCGAGAGCCCCAAACCGGGAGTCTGCATCTCCCTACCTGACTCAGTTTAACTGTCAAGGATTTCATGGATTGATGCCATGTTTTTGTTTGGCCACCACTGGCTCTTTTCCAACCTGAACCTATATCAGCTAGCAAAGCCCGTCGGGGGAGGCGGTGGTTAGGCATGTGCAGCACTTGACCTAGCCATCTTAGTCTATGTAACTTTATAGCCTCGTCGATTGATTTTCCCTCTTTGCCCAACACTCTACGTCTAACGTCAACATTACTTACCCTATTAAACCACCTAACGTGAGAAAGAGATCGCAGACATCTATGATCGAAAGCAGTTAACCTTTTCATGTCTTCAACGCGTATTGGCCATGTTTCAGAGCCATAGAGAAGCACGGAGCGAACTGATGAGCAGTACACACGTCCTTTGGTTGATAACCGGATGTCACGCCTACGCCAGAGATGGTGTAAGTCAGCGAAAGCAGCTCGAGCTTTTCGGATCCGTGCTGAGATTTCATCGCCAATCAGTCCGTTGGTGCTAATACAACTTCCCAAGTAGGTGAAGTGGTCAACATGTTCTATCACTTCACTCCCTATCACTAAGTTAGGGGTTGACGTGGTCCAGTCCTGTAGCAGCATCTTACATTTTGCAGGGGCGAATCGCATGCCAAACATACGAAGATTGCTGCTCAAGGTGTTCAGAAGACTCTGCATCTTGAACCCTCTACCTGGTCTAAAGCCTGCTTGATTTTCCCTCGTCTGTTCCTCCCGAGTTCTGCTTAGTCTATGCATGATTACTGAGCCTAGGATTTTAGAGACTATGTTCGTTAGGCTGATCCCCCTATGATTATCACACGAGGACTTATTTCCCTTCTTGAATATCGGTATAATAAGTGACATACCCCAGTCTGATGGAACTGTCTCTGATTCCCACACTTTGCCTAGTACCTCAGTTAATCTACAAACTAGTATGTCACCCCCATATTTAAACACCTCCGGAATAATTCCGTCGGGTCCTGCCGCTTTGCCTCGTTTCAAATTACTGATAGCTTTTGTAACCTCACCTACAGACGGCGGACCAGTGTCTATATCCCATTCGGGTACGTGGTGGATGGCGGGGAGGTTCAGTGTGGCTGTAGGCAAGTTAAATTGTTCCTCAAAGTGTTCTTTCCAGCGTTCAAGGCGTCTATCCTGAGAGTTAATTAAGGAGCCATTTTTCTCGGAAATAGTCTCGCTTATGAATTGCCTTCTCCCTCCCGATTCTGTGATGGAAGTACCATCATCCAGCGCCAACGGGTTGATCTCTGACGAAATCTCAGCACGGATACAGAGGAATCGTTTCGCATATGCCAGTTTACACCGTCTCTGGCGTAGACGTGATATCCGACTATCAACCAAAGGGCGGGTGTACTACGCATCAGTCCGCTCCGTCCTCCTTTATGACTGGCTGTGAGACCTAGCCATTGAGAGTGGAAGACATGAAAAGCCTAGCTAGCTGTCTTTGATCATAGGTGCCTGCACTCTATCTCCTTTTGTCTCACACCTCTGTTTACTATCTCTAATATGCATTTCTTCTAGTTTCTTCTCTTGCTTTGTGTGCTACATGGAGTGTGGCGACTTGAACTGCATCACATTGTTGCAAAGTTCTATGTTGAAAAAAGACACACTTTTTAAAACCTGCGCTTATTTACGATTTACAAATACGTTGAATAAATGATGTATTGAAATCAGTTTTTTTTAAAAAACTACTTCGACGAATTTATAATTAGGGTACTGCTAGGCGAATAGAAAAATCACAGCTAGTGTGTAGCCATCTGTCTAAAGTAAAAAACCCTTTGATCTCGAATCTTTGACATATTCATATTATTGGCGTAAGAATAGAGTTCGTCTACTGTAGTAGAACATAACTTCACGCACAACAACGACAGTAACAACACAGTATTAATGTCTGTCGATCGAAACGGCCTCGCAATCTCATTAACTGATTTCCCCTCCTTCCCTAACACTACTCCACGCTCTACCTCAATTTTACTATTCACAACAATTATGCTATTTAACAAGAAAGATAGACGGTAAACACCTACGGTCAAAGACAGTTAAGGTCTCCCATTTTTCAACTGTCACATCTCACAGCAGCAAGGAGGGACACGTAAGCGTTGTACATCGGGGATGTATGATGGCTGCAAGCAGTACGAATATCGAAGGAAGAAAAGATTGTCAACTCGCAAGATGTTTGAATAATAATAATAATTTAAAACAGTTCGTTTTATGAATTTAGATAAAGCAGTAAGAAGACGTAATTTGTCTGAATCGTGTAATGTATTTGCGCAACACATTTCGAACAATCTGATCACACACGGACTTGTCATAGGAATATATATGAAATTAATAAAGAGGTAAGAGGTGCGAAAATAGCCTTGGGTCAAGTTAAAAGGACATATTCAGGGTCAAAATAACAATGAAGACCACTAAACCAAATAGCAGAGGTAATAGTAAATCTGCTATGGTATCCTAACAAAGTGTACCAAGGAAGGTTTAATGTGATGACGAATTGTTTTTGAACGCATAAAGGTGACCTGAACTTTCTTATTGCTAGGGCTTCCACAAACTTTACGATACACCCCAAAACACGTTTTAAACCTATCTATAAAACGTGTTTTGGGGTGTATCGTAAAGTTTGTGGAAGCCCTAGCAATAAGAAAGTTCAGGTCACCTTTATGCGTTCAAAAACAATTCGTCATCACATTAAACCTTCCTTGGTACACTTTGTTAGGATACCATAGCAGATTTACTATTACCTCTGCTATTTGGTTTAGTGGTCTTCATTGTTATTTTGACCCTGAATATGTCCTTTTAACTTGACCCAAGGCTATTTTCGCACCTCTTACCTTTTTATTAATTTCATATATATTCCTATGACAAGTCCGTGTGTGATCAGATTGTTCGAAATGTGTTGCGCAAATACATTACACGATTCAAACAAATTACGTCTTCTTATTGCTTTATCTAAATAATAATTTTATTATTAAAGGATTTATTTACACTTCATGTTATCACATTTAATAACAAATGAGTAAAATTAATAAGTGAAGGCATTTTACAGATGCTTAAAATATACGCAGTTTTTTCTCTTTCATCTGTTTATTTTGCATGTTTACAATAGTTCGTTCATTCTCTTTTAATTGTATCAGTTGCGATTGTAATTCAACTACTCTCTGCTGAGCTTGTTTCACTGCTATACGATCTCGACCTTCATTTCTTTTCACAGCTCCTTGAGCTTTGCAAATATGCTGGTGTAATTTATTTATCTGTTCATGTGTGTGGAACAATTTACGCTTTAGCACACTTTCATTACAATGTGTAATAGATGATATCTGTGTATTCTTTAAAGAATTACTGACGTTTGAAGGTTTGGAATTATCACTGGTACTAGTAGTACTACAAGTACCGCTTCTGTTATTGGATAATAATGCCAGATTGATTAACTGAAAAACACTTCCACCAGAATAAGAACTGCCTTCATTCTTAGATGTAGTGTTCCGACATGTATTCACATTTCCTTTTTTACCTTGTGTCATTGATAATGATGCAGCATTACGACGTGCTTTGCGCCTTTTCGGTGGTAACACAACATTATCTAAGGAAGGTCGATGCCATTTGGCACTATGAATTTGATATTTTTCAAGACTGGTACATACAGGAAACTGACGACCTTGATGACAACGACCAAGTCCACCATAACCTGGATAACCCATACTGGCTAATAAACGTGAGCCAATTCCTCGTGTATGCACCTCCCATTCTCCAAGTAGATGTTGCTTATTATTATCATCATCGTTATTAATCTTTGATTCCTCCTCTACACTGATTACTGAACTTGATGAGTCCATTAATAATTCACTGGGATTAAGAGTAGTACCGTAGAAAAACTGAACATGTGAACGAAGTTTACTACTGCTACCGTCAGTCTATAATAAAAGACAGATAAAAAAAAGAAAGCAAATTATTACCAGTTAACTTATCCTGACAAGAAAAAACATATAAACAATACTAAATACTATTTGCAATTAATAGTGTTCTCTAAGCTGGTTGGTTTAGTTGCGGAGCTTTCGTCGTCTTTCTGGACGACATCTTCAGCGCAGTATTTAGCATAAAGTCAAATGGCTGTAAAATCTCCATGAATGATGATACAATTGTCTCCTGGTGACCAACCATCTTTACACATGTGTATTGACCGTTTTCTATTGATTGGGATTTTAAACTTTCTGGTCACCTGATTTGCTTTTTAATAGTTGATATATTACATCACCAGGAGACCCAATTGTATCATCATTCATGGAGATTTTACAGCCATTTGACCTTGTGCTAAATACTGCGCTGAAGATGTCGTCCCGAAAGACGACGAAAGCTCCGCAACTAAACCAACCAGCTCAGAGAACACTATTAATTGCAAATCATCCACCTGAGTTACAAATCTTTTCTATTATTTCAATACAAAATACTATATCTGCGCACCTGTGGGTGATTCAAAACTAAAGTGCTTGCCAAACACGCCATAGATCCGGACTCGATTTCCGGATAACACAATACTCTTGAATTAATCCTAGTTTACTAGTCAGCAATCAGTTTGAAATATGGGGAAGATTAGACGCAATGCTAGTAACTCTACTTCGTCAAGACGACACCGCCATTATGGAAAAACAAATACAATGTAATTACATTCATCACAGTAGTAATTCGACATTTTAAATTATGTTTAGTAGTAATTCCATAACCTTATTTTTGTTTTTATGTGTACTGTTGTCCTGAATATCTTCTGACCTCTACTCTACTCACTTAGATTATTAAACCTTTACAATAACATATGTGTGTTGCCAAGTTTATGCACCTAATCAATTAAATTAATTCTAGAATATTCTTGTAATCGCTTATAGAATCATATAATGTGATTTATCTGCATGCTAAACAAATAAAATAAATGAGTATTTTGTGTATTTAGGTTGTACGTCAAACGACGACATAAAATGCTCAGCTTACTGTTCTTGCTTTGTTCAAGTTCATTTAAAAGGAAATAACAGTGTGAACATCTTAAATTAATTCAGTTTATAACACTGAAACACACACATACACACACACAGATACGCTAAAACTGTATTTCACTTATACCCAACAACCCCTGGGGTTACAAACTGTGAATTCATCGTATTTGTGTTACCGAATCGTTTCTTTTATTTCTCAAGTCTCTAGTGGAAAACCACTGGCCTTAAAGCTTCGAAATTTCAGCACTAATGTTGTTTTCACGGAGTGAGGTTGGCTCCTAGTCTCACAGCTAGTTTTTCCTTTAATTCGCAATTAATAACGGTTAGCGCTAGAGTGTGTCAACCATCAATTGAACCTGGACCACGCCCGCCGAGTGGCTGACATGCATTCCTATCGTTGAACCAACAAGGCAACACGTGTTATTATCGGTAACAAACGACAATCCGGGAGACGGCTACATATATAGACGATGTATGAGGACGGATTACAAGTGATTCTAGACTTCTAGGTGAAACAAAGTTTCACGAGAACTGATGGTTAATATATGTTGCACGCTTGACAATCGCTATGGTGGATTCTGACCATATAAACTGAACGAAAAGCAGAAATTGGAAACACTGTAATTGTGCCTTGAGCTAATTTGTATATTTTTACGCAACAGAGATTTGTTTTGCGAATACACTGTTGACGAGAGATTGAACTCACCGTTTTCTAAAATCTAGGAAATGAGATAAAAGATGTGTTTAGCAGCCTCATATGTTAGTAGGAGGAATAACATGCTGAAACTGCTCTGTTAATGTTCCCTCTTCTGTTATAGTTACACTGAACCAGTGTGAGCCTTTTTAGGCCAGGAAGATGAGATACTGATCGTATCTTTACCCTTTGACAGATTCTAAGGCGTACACATACTTGATAGTAAACAAAATAGAGAGAGGGAAGGTAGGATAGGGTGTGGTGGGGCAGGACGTGCTACCGATAACACACCGTGAAAAGGACATCACCGCTACTGAAACCTCAAAGCTTAAAAAATTGAGGCCTTATGTTCCACCCTGGAACGCAAAGGAATTTAATAATAATAATAATAAATCCACAAACTTTTGGATATGATTGTGATTTCGCAGTATCATCTACAGTTTTTTCGTTAGGCATTGAATGCATAGGAAATTTAGTTGACAAAGAAGAATTTAAATCATCATTAGCCTCCGATTCAGAATCATCAGTTGTGGACACTGAAACACCACTAGTTACAGAGACATCACAATCTGTATTCTCCTCCTCCTCGTCATCATCATCATCATCCAATACATGAATACACTTCAAGGGTAAACTGATAACTTCAGCTTCTAAATTATCGTATGATTGTCGTTTAACCGCTGATTTTTCATCTGAGCGAATGCCACCATGACCCCATTGAATGACACATGTAGATGATTCGAAATCTGTTTGAAGAATCCGAGCATGTCGCCATAATGAGCTATGCGGGCTGTTAGGATCATTTGCTAAACATGGTTGACCTTCACGCAAGTATTTCTGAGCATCCGGTTCGAACCAATCCTCAATATCCTATTTTTAAGAAAAAAATATCATTTAAGCGCTCAGCAAAATGTAAAATGAAAACTCCTACAGGATAACATCATAAAACTTTAATTTCGATACAAACCCCCAACAAAGGATGCAACCAAAAAACCACTCACAGCTTACCAATTTTTGAATTTATTACTGTCGACAACGCTGAAGACATTATCAAACTCGATGTTGTTGAGGCGAAAATTTACCATTCTCTGCTCTGTTGAATAATGATACATGCAGATACAATTTGATCCGCACACGACTTTCTTTTTCCTGAATCCAGCATGTTAGAGACAGAGTTGTACATGAAGACTATCTTTTAGTCTTTCCAAGATGACATACAACCTGATATTTTGCTTAGAGACGACAGGCGTATGATTCCGAGCAAGTTCCTGCAAAGGCTTACACAGGTCTTATTTTGAAGTTGACAGGGTAGTCCCTCTTCTAATCGGTAGGCACCTCTCCTGCAATCGCTGGATCGAGCAGAACCTGAGGTCTCTGGCAGTGACACAACCAAGCACCTACCACCCAACAAATGTGCCGAAAAAAAGATGGATTGGCTCTACATGGTGAAACCCGAGAGGGAAACGAGTCAGGCATACGAGGTGACACAGAGGAGAAAGTGTGAGGAGAAAGATGACAGCACATGGACAATCATACGACCAGATTAAAATGACGATTGCAGAGAACAGGGTGAAACTGCTATTCGCTGCTGGGGTCATATATCCCAGCAACAACCCAAGAGAATAATAATAAATCCACAAGAGAAAATTGATGATATCTACTCAGGTCAGATCTCTGTAAAGCTCCACTTCCCTTAAAAACGTTGACTGACAGAAATTTTAATGAAAAACCTTGAACAAAATTGCAGTGTGATCATTTACAGAGAGAGAATACACTTATGCCATGAAAAATTATTTGCATCCACGTCACCAACAGTCTGAGGCCGTTGTTTCCTACAATCTTGAGAATCCCCTAGCCTCCAGTCACCACGGTTAGCTCAAAGGATCGATAAAAAACTGCATGCATTGTTGTCACGTTTTCATTCGACCACAACTAACCTCTTTGCAACTTAGTCCTACGTTAAGCTAACATTGCCCGACGAGGAGGATGATGCTTCGGTACGCTCACATACCCAAGCATCTCAAACGGCACAGCTTAACAGACTCATCTGTAGCCCTTCCGTCCCAACCTACCTAACACTCTACACACCTAGCCTCAATGTTACCATATTACACTACTTAACAACGAAGAGAGAACGTAAACATCTGTTGTCGAAGTCACCTAACTTCTTCATATGCTCCACTTTCAATGGCCATATCCCACAGTCATTAAGAAGGACAATATGAGTGGAATGTCCCGGTTATTGTGAGATATCTTCTCGAAACTCTATTCACGAATAAATATTGGTGCAGTACCTCTCGGTAGACTGGTTTGAATGCCACCTTCAGGCCAAGAAAAACATTGCAAGTGTTGGTCCCCACGATGCTCAGCAATGAGAGTTACACTTAATGTTTTGCGACAGCTACTGATAATTATCTAATTATCCAGGCTAAAATAAGTGGAGATAAATTTGAACCTGGGACCTGCAGGACTGAAAGGCGAATTTCTTGACCGATTGGTTACATATACACCTTTGACAGACCAACACAAATACGAAAAGGCAATCAATATTTGAAACAGGAGTAGTATTAGCTAGTTATTTACAAACTCTCGTGACATTTTTTATTCACTAGGCTAAATGTTACTAATTGGATTCATTTACAAAGTAAAATTTTTTTTCCCAAACTTACCTCAATATTAACAATTTTACCATGAGAATTAGGGCAACGAATCCCACGATAACATGATCCAGTTTCAAAAAAACTTTCACATGGAATTTCACTATAGCGTGTCGGATGAGACAATATTACACGAACTCGTTCAGGCATTTCACCATCACAATCAACAATCGATAGTATCAAAGCATTCTGTCGAATAAATTTTCCATTTGAAGTCCATCCCGGAATACTACAACGTTGTCCAATTAATGAATGCTCATTTATAGGCTCTGATAATGTGTTAATCTGTGAAGATGAAGGTTCGATCTCATTGTTTTTTGTAGTATTATTCTTAGCAAGGATAGAATCAACTTCAGTTAGTAGCTGTAACTTCCTATAAGCCAAAAGTTCATCTTCTTTCAATGTAATTAACTCTTCTAAATCCTTTTTTAAGTTAAACAATTCACTATATTTTAATTTATCATTTTCTATTGATAGGCATGTATTTATTTCAGTAAGTGTTGCTCTTAAACTTTCAAGTTCTTGTGATGATGTCAAGCTTGACTGCAAAAAAAATGAATAAATAAATAAATAAGACTAATTGGAAGACTACACATAATAAAATAATCACAAAGGAATATATAAATGCACAAATATCTAAATCAGACATACAGTATTTTATGCATTGAGGAACATGAAATTTTTAACAATTTTTTAGTTATAAATATAAAAAGATCACTAAAATTTACTCTTTCTAGTTTCCGAATTACACACCACAGCTATACAATAAAAGAAGATTTGTAATTGTCTAGTCTACAGTATTATTATTACCATTATCCAAGTCAAAAACTTCGTACATAATGAGCACTAAGACATGGCGTCACACAAAATCTCATAGTTTTATGTGAAGGCTGGCATGTCAGGACGGCCAAAATGAAGCAGGTGGTTGTCTTAGGCGACCACATCTTACTCTTCGACTCGAAGCCTGGACTACACTCACTACAGTGAAGCATTGTTTTTCCCATGGCTACCGGTAAGCAAATCAGGTTCACACACTGTTTGATCTTTTCGGTGTCTGGAGACCATGTACAGCATAGCGTTGGAAACAGGGTTTTCTAACTCTCCTAGATAGACCAGTATGTGTGCATTAGTCCGGTTGTATGCGCCAGACGTTCGCACTCACCTTCTCCCATCCGCTTCCACTTTTACAAGGAATATCATATTGTGTGAAAGAAGTGAATGAGAATTACCTGGTAGAGACAATAAACGCATGGTCACAATATATGAGAGTATCTAGAGAGGAGAAAGACCGAAGTCAACATACTCACAGCAGGCCTCTACATAAGGGCGTTATCAGTTTAGCAAACTCTTCAAATGTCGACTTCCTTCTCTACACATACAACACCATGTATATTAAAAATGTTGTAAACTAACAAATACTATATAGTGAAACGTCGTTATTCATGCAGATGAATACGTACATGGTAACCGAATGACTACTGAACCGTGTAAATTTTCTTTCCTCGGGTCACACATTTCAGTAAACAACAGATTTGTGCACTAGATGATAACTGCAGTAGTGCAGATATATTGAAACTTATTCGAAATATACTAGTGAATGATTGCTGAACATGTTAACAAGTTGAATCCTTTTGGAATAAAGTCAGACAAATGAAGATACTAAATCAACAATATACAACAGTCGACGATCACTACGTCAAAAACTAGCCAGGAAATCGAGAAAGCAAGACAGACATTGAATACTGTGATGAAATGAGTGTGGGGACCTAGAGCATTCAGCACTACAAAGAACATAGAAATTTTCAACACTACTTTACAAGTCACTGAGTCGCTTCTGTACTGTTTAATAAACTTGACATGCGCATCACCAACGCATTTTGCTAAATGCTACTGCAGACTACTATCAGCAGCAGTTGCTTTTTACTCAGTACTAAAGGTCAGATAACCAGAAAGAAACGGTATGCAACAAAAGACTCTGACAGTGCAGTGGACAAGAATATCTCGCCCAATGAACAAATGATGACGGAAATGGAGGTGAACTGGTAAACGTTGAGGTGCTATTCAAGTGACACCACACCCCATACCAGCCAGGTTGGGCAGGGGGGGGCTGGTGGTGACATGGCGATTACATGAAGCGAAGATGAAAGCTTATGTATATAGTTGTCGAGCCTGTTGAAAGCAATAGCAGAGAAGTGGGAAACGTGCAGCTGCAGACCCATATCCATCCCACTTGGAATCTAGAGAATGTAATGATAATTTGACAATAGTCGTCCGTAGTACAATATATGATATCTATGCGATCACATGACACACACAGGCAAGGCACAGGTTATACAACAAACAAGAAATCAAAAATATCCACATTTATATGCATAGATTAATATATTGAACCGTTCAAGTGTGTTAAACAAACAACATGGATTACAGTTTTTAGATCGAAAAAATACTAATACTACTAACAATAACAATGCTATATACATGTAGCAACGCAAAAACAAACATGAACACAGATGACAGAGATTATTTAGTAAACACACATACGCACACAGAGATATACATAGAAAAAGAGGCAAAAAGGGAAGATGAATAGAACAAATTACTGCAATTAGTAGATTAACTAGAGACAAAAATGATTATATCTATGATAACGATGGTGATGACTGTATATATATATATATATATAAATACAGAAATACACGAAGTTAAGACAGCAAATAAAATATACACAAAGACATAAAATCTATTCAAAACAAAGTATAGGTTATTATTTAATGACTATATATATGCGTGAAAAGGTGTCATTTTTGCCACATTATGTGTTGAAAATAATCTCAGATATAATATATGCACATCTTTAGGCAAATGATGAAATGCTTATTGGTTGAAGCTTGCTTGTCGCGAGGATTGGAATCTATCTCGTTTTTGACGATTTTGTTATATCTAAAATTAAAAGCCAAAAAAGAAAACAAGAGAATTTACTTTGATAAACGAAAATCAACAGGACACACCAGGTATTGACGAAGTACGCACATATGTGTAACCTACTGCTACGTTGATCTATTTATTCATGTTAATCCCGACCGAAAGCTGCTACCTTGACGTGGTGGTCGGGCTTGAACACCGCAATGACCCAACAAGCTATACTGCCTCAGACCTATGTCGCTTGAGGTCCTAATATGCCACAAAGGTTGTTTGGATAGCAGTGAAACAAAAAGCAGCTACCCCATCCAATACCATGATTCAAACAAATTCACAAAATATCATGCCGGATCGGCCGTGGCCTGGATTAACGACCGCGCTTCCTGCTGCCGTGTCACAGGGCAGGAGTGATAAATATGCTACTGAGATACACAAAACAATTACGAAAAAAGAAAAGCAGGCCGTGTGTGACCGGCCTCAAGCAGTTGTCCCCTGGGCTCTGCGGTCACGCAACTAACTTCCACGGTGTGGGCAGCCGGGAAGTAACAATCGCCCTCACAACCCGAAATGCACACGAAACCTCTCTAATCTATTTACTCATTATGGAATTTGTGGGGATTTGGATTTTTTAACCACAAATCAAAGCCAGTTATACAGAAAGCAGTGAAAACCAGAGGATAGCAGTAGACCTGGAGATAAGTAGCCTCGTCCTCTTCTGCTCATCGAACATGTATTGCTGTAGGAGGTAGCGCAAATTCATCATTATCATCACTAGTGAAAAAGGTTAGTGTCAAGGGAGTCATTGCATCCGAAGCCCAAGTGGTTGAATAGTCAACGAATGTTTGTCACCTAATATCTGAAGGTCCAGTGTTCAACTAACACACAGTGGGGTTTGTGGGGAAGCGCATGGCTGATCAATGCCAAAATATAAACTGAAACAGATGTGCACCAGTTCAAGCATCTCTCTAACTATATTGCTCTTCGTTATTACTACTCCTTTGTGTCACATCTCGGTTTACTGTCTCTATTATGCATTTCTTCAACTTTCTTCTCTTTCTTTGTGTGTTACATGGAGTGTGGCGACTCGACCTGCCGCATATATGTGCAAAGTTCTATTTCGAAGACAGGCAGACAGACATCTCTCTAACCGATATTCGGTCGTGACGAAATCTAACAAGTGAAATGAAATTAGTTTACTTGTTGAACGATTGAACATATCACGACCACATCAACGATGAATTTTAGAAGTGATGTTCACCTTAAATGTAAAGCATTATTAAGTCCCAGGACTACTGATCGACTATCAGTAGTCTACACACTCATATTTTATGTCAAATGGAAGTTAAAGTGAGAGAAATAAAGAAATTTAGGCAAGATAAACAAAGGCTGTAGTGTAACAAGATAAAGGAAAAAGGAGAGGAAATAAATCAAATGAAATAACACGTTATGACAAAGTCTAGGGTACAACATGATTTATATACAGTTTTACTTCATATAAGTATTAGGACAGGAAGATGGACAGTATTATGATTTGATGTTTCCCATCTGACTTCTGAATTAGATCTTAAGGTAGATTAAAAGTCAATTCATCGGAATTTTATTAGCGCACGTTAATCCAGTCAGAACATCTTCTTTAGATATTAAACTAGCAATTTATTTGGTCATTTGAAGTAACTATACAATAAGCCTGTAAATTTATTGTTGCATTATCTTTACCCTATACCACTGTAGTAAATCTTCGCCTTCTCAGTTCAGGAAGAGTATTTGAGTTGTTAGTCGTACACTTGTGTGTATGTTGAAGTAACACTTCAGAATCAACTGACACTCAGTAATTTAAAACGGTGAGTGATAACAGTATCATTTATCTACTGACAATATACTTCAAATACAATAATATTGCCCATAATCATATCAGTGTGTGTTCACCATAAAACTTTCAGATTACTTATATAGATTGATTATTTCCTGTTTTTGACCTTATTGCACCGATTTAGTGTATATTAGATGAAAACAAAAGATTCAGTAACCCCCACGTCAACTCCATTCACAATTACATAACCCTTTAAAATGTATATGTTGTATTATATGGTTGTAGTACGTTCAATGCAATGTAGCTGATTATTTTTTAGCGTTAATAATCCTTCATCATCAATCTACTAAATTCCTGTGTTCCGATAACCTGACGAACCTCCACCTAGTGGGTTGACCTACATAACTCTAACTGACTTCAAATTCATTGTAAAGTATTTTTATTCTTATGATCACAGGCAAAGAACTATACTCGAAAAGTCATCAGTAAATAATACCATATCATTGAGTAACATCAAATGAAAGTATTCGAATACATGGGTGGGACATTGGCTCGACACTTTCAGCCAATAGAGTACTGGGTCCGAGTCCCACTGCACTAACCGTCCCGCGTAAGTGCGCTACATATATAACGAAACGATATGTTATCCCTGACTGACTGGTTTCAACATAGAACTTTCCACCTATGTGCAGCAGTTCGAGTCGCCACACTCCATGAAGTACATAAGGCCAGAGAAGAAAACAGCTTGAAAACAATTTCCCTGAAGTGGAATCACCTACAACTCTACACAGCAACACCTGACACAACAGAAAACAGAACTGTAGATGTTGTAGTCAGTTGTCGACGTGGACATAAGAGGAAAAAAACCAACTAAACAAACTCACTCAAAAATATTGCAACTAACGAAGTATAGAGTAATTACTGCTTTCACCATTGCAAATAGGTCCTTGAGAACTTGTTCCTGGACAAGTATTTGATGAGTTCTTAATTAGCGAGGCTGAATGTTTCGAGCTACTAGTACTGCTACCTGCTGCTGTACTTCGACGTCGAACTTGTCGTACATTAGTACTAGTATTGTTAGGTGAATGTTTTCGACAAGATCTTCGTAAATTCAATGAATTGGAGACAGTGTTGGAATCTAAATTTGTTTTTGAAGATGATGATGGCGAAAGAGATTTTGAAGAATTATTAGCACTACGTTCTAGCTCTTCAATAATCTGATTAATAGAAAGACTGAAATGAGTAATCAAGTTTTTCGTTACAGAACTCATTCTTTGAAGTGAATCAAGCATACATCGTTTGCGTTGAGAAATACCTCTGACATATTCCATAGCTCTGTTGAGTTGAATAGCTAAAGAAAGCTTTTTTGCTGCTAACGACTGCGAACCTCCTGCTATGTTAACAGAATCTGTAGGTACACTATAAAACCAAGAATTTCTAGAGAATAAAGGGGCGGCTTCAGAATTGATGCAATCAAGTTGCCTTTCTAAATCAGTCCCAATGTTTTCGACAGTTTGAAGGGTTTGTAGTTCAGTGTATGCCTAAAAATCGAAAAACAAAATTAAACTCAGTAATAATCATAAGCGCAAATCGTTTCAAGTAAGATCAGTTTCAAAATATATACACGAAAAATGCCTCTAAGAAGGACTATAAAATCTCCTCCCAATAAATAACATCATGGATTAATTGCCCAAAGGAAAAAACTTATGTCAAAAGAAAGAATTCAGTCGGAACGCATCTGGTTCATACATATTAAAAGAGCAACTTGAAAAATAAAAGTAGAACTTTACAAACCAATGCCCATTAATTCAAGTTAACATTCACTAACAATTTTTCAACTCAGTTGTTATTTATCAGTTGTCAAAGAGCATGATGAATCAACATGAGTAACACTCATATCCTTCATCATGCCATCCCAAGTGTTGCAGCCCCACAACCTGATCACACCAACTGATATTTCCTCTCTGTGTTAAACTACAGTACGCTTCCTAAGCTCATTATCGAATGACCACCAATTACGACTTAGCAACACGTTCCCACTGTCGGTATTAATGACTATTCGAACCATTCTCTTAAATCCAGTATGTATAAATTACCAAATAGAAATTTCCCGTTCACAAATATTCATACAAATTGAAAAATACCATTATTTCCTTTCTAAATATTACTTGTTGTTTACTTGATACGGAAGATCTGACTCATTATTGGTTGTAGCGTTTGACACGCAGTCATCCACCCAACCACCCAGTGGGTCTCTAGGTTTGAGTCCCAGGTAGACAGTATCATCAGGGCCTGAAGCTATTTATAGCTCGAAGACCGGCATGCAGAAAAAAGGTGTTCGAGGAAACTGACCTCTAAATAAGTTTTGCTATTGAAATCTAACTCTATATATGATAAGCGAGAACTCAATAACTTCGCTTAGTAGGCACCAGTTTCTTTCCCGATAGGCGAACAAAGCGAATTCCTCTCCCTTTCTCTCCTACTTTCAAATTCGATAGTGTGCACTCGCCTACAACTGTATGTTTAGGTATCACATCCCTAGATTACGAAAGTACTCCATACAAAAGTGAGATATTACATAAAACAATACCAAGATAGGTGCGGTTTTACGAATTCATATCACTCACCAGTAAATCTAAATTATCTAAACAGCGAAAAGCTCTCCAACCCGAAGTATTCAACATTGACGTCTCAGTTAACGGGAATCTTAAAAATCCAGATTCTTTTTGTTCACTACGTAGAGCCAAAATGTCCTGCACTAAACGTTTTGCCGCATTCGATTCTTCCGAGTCATTCAGACCATCTAAACTCTCAGAATCTTTACTCCCTTTTTTCTGATTTACAGAATCCATACGTGAACCGGTGATTAATGAACGACGTCGACGGCGAGTAGAATATGAACCCGCTCTTCGAGATGATTCATAAGTGTTGGCACGTTTCGACGGTGACTTCACAGAAACTTCGGAAAGACTGAAAAGTGACAGGAAAAGTTTTTTTAAACCAAATAAGTAAAGTGGAGGAAAATGATACGCGAATTATAACTGCCTTCAGAAAAAGATACTTTTTCACTTGTGACACATAATACCTGAAAACCAAATCTTCAGAGATTGGTTATGTACGCACAATATATCATGAACTGAGTCGATACAATACTAATGAGGGTTAAATACTAACAGCACGATGCACTCTTTTAAACTGATTGGTCAAAGGAATCAGATTACCCAAATGGTGCAGTTCATTCAATAAGTTTCGGTGCGCTAGATACTTCACTTTTATTTATGTAACACAGCATAAGTCTTCATAAAGTTGACCATTGAACAAAATCTCGAGTAAAAACCGTCAAGTTAGGATACCACCACCACCTACTTGGGTGTGAGATGCATTAGCTATCTATTTTAAATACCAACACACCAAGTAAATAGAAAACAAAAACAGTTGTATGAGTTTAGTATTTTTATCACCAATATGTAAGCAGAATCATGTATAGCACCTGTATTGGAGTTAGCATATAAGTAACATTTAAGTGACTATACGAACTTAATCAGAGTCCATTATTATTCAACACAAATTGTTAATTTACCATTTGAGCAGTCTACATGACTTTCGTCAATTTAGAATTATTACTAGGAGGTTGACGTACTCCTTAACCTCGTTCAGCCGGTGGTAAGTTCCGTAAAGACGGAAAGTTGTTCGGCTCAAGGCTAGCAACTTCACCCTGCTAAAACGACAACATCACGGCTGCTTGGAAGCTGAAGCTTTGTATTCCACTCGGAAGCCAAAGGAAATAAGGTAGAGTCACAATATGTCAATTTGATATCATCTTTAATTTCACAGAGAGACTGCATATATTACAGTCACCAATTTGTGAGTTCTAATGATGATGAAGAACGGAAATAATTGAGGAGTACCACAACTGAATGAGTGAGCAATCTCGTAATGAGCCAACAGGCTACATCGACTTGAACTAATACACCTGCAGGTTCTACCATACCAACAAGGTCGTAGAGACAGCGGCTGGACTAAGAGCAGTTCCCATCATAGTATAAACTGTTCACTGCTGGATTTCTGTGGGCGAAGTCGAATAGGGATTTACAGCAATAATCTGTTTCCTTTAGATGACCGGCAAGCGGGCTATGCCGCCTCTCCGCTCTGAGTATGGGAGTCAGAAAAGGTCGATTCCCACAAATGTAGGTGTAGACACAACTTCAAAAACCAACTCAAACAGGTCGTGTGTGACCAGCCTCTGACAGTTGTCTTCTGGGCTGTACGATCAACGCAACACTTAGGCTCCTTCTGTTTTGGGTACCCCAAAAAGAAATCAACTTCGATGCAATAATTGCCTACACAAAAGCAAGCCCTTCTGATTATAACTCGAGCGATCTGTGATTGTTTACGAGCGTTTCGTACTTGCTTACTACACCCCCCTCACTTCCAGAACGTATGGCTTATCTCTTTGTGTCCATAATCTGCCAAGCTTGGGTTTCAAGTAATAAAATAGTCCCCAGAATGACTTAGGTAAGCGTCATACTACAATGTATAAGGTTTTATGAAATTATCGAGTTGTCTAAATTTAGGTGTATATAACAGAAAAGCATGTTAATCAAACAATCTAAAACGCACTTGAGAAAATGAGTAGTCTTCGAACGATAAGCACCACCCAGTCGACTATTAGATGATGCATATTTAGGAATAATAGATGGTCTAGGTGGTCTATTGTGAAGTATCCATTCACATCCATCTATTGGATCTACAGCCCATAGAATACCAGTTTTTGAAGTTTTATTGTTGTGATGATTATCTATACCAGTTGAAAGCGATTCATTTACTTGCTGCTCAGTATCTACTTCTAAATCATTTTTAGTTCTTTTTTTGCGTAGTGGTAATACACTACTACTGTGAGTAGCAGTAGTAATGGTATTAGTAGTAGGTAGTGCTACGGCTTTTGTTTTATCATTCCCACTATTATTATTATTATTATTATTATCATCATCATCGGTATTGTCATTTTCATGATAATCATCAATAGACTGATGAAAGTATTTCTCAGAATTAGAATTATCTTTAATAAGATCAAATAAATTACGCTTTTCATTTGACTCCAGACTGTTCAAAGATTTAGACTGTTTCACATCTTCTAAATCAGTTGCCAAGCATAAATTAGTAGTAGTAGTAGCAGCAGCAGGCGATGATAATTCCAAACTAGTAGAAGGAAAGTTGGATTTTTTTATGAAATCAGTATTATTATTATTGTTGTTGAAATGGTAAACATCTGTCGTGGTAGTGATAGTAGTAGTAACAGTGGTAGCGGTAGGAGTAGTAGTCGTAGTAGAATCAACTTGATGACATTGTTTTAAGGTAGAAACTAAATGATGCAAAAGAGAATTTGATTCAGACGATCTGTATGACTTGCCAGCGTGAAGAACAGTGTGAAACTTTGGATCCTCCGAAACTATTGATTTAGGAATCTAGAAGAAGAAACAACAACACAGCAAAATGAAAATGTTAATTTTATGCAGCGCAAAAGCAAAACCTAATTGGTTGGAAGATTTCATCATGAGCTGATATCAATTAGAGAACCATTTTAAAACCAGCTGGGAGTACTGGACGGCGGTTTTGTCCTCGTTTAGGACTTTTCATCAGTACGCACCCACCTCCAGGGTTCGAACCCAAGAGCTTCTGGTTACCAGGCGAACTGGTTAAGTCGCTGGGACTTGATCCAATGACCCATGGATTCAAACTTTCGCCAATCCAATCTGAAATATATACATATATATGCACTTAAAGCTTATAAAGCTTATAGTCGTTCGCATGAGTTGCTTAACTCATTATTTAACTTTTTTCATCCAACATTTTGTGATTTTCATCTGAGTGGATAGGTCATTCACTACTCACTACTAAAATTTTAACTGACATAAGTTCAGTAGAAACTTAGCAGAAAGAAGGAGAAGGAGTGAGTTAAAAAGCATAGCGCCTGTTTACTATACTTTGTTGTCATCAAATAACAGTGAGTCTTTATAATGTGTTGTATCGAAATTCCAGGTACTAGACAGCAAATGTAATAATACGATGAAACCTGATATCATATATATATATATATATATATATATATATATATATATAATTGAGGTTCACAATGGGACTGTAAAATGCAACTACCCTGTCTCTAGGTACAACTCAACAACAGTTCAAGTCATTGCATCGATGAAAACAGTGAGACACCCTACTCATTTTTTTTCACAAATATAGTTTGTCATATTTCAGTCTTCCAGTTTATTATCTTGGCAGATTATTTTTATCAGATGGCATAATTATTCACTTGAAATTTAGAATAATGACTGTACCTTATAACTAACACACGCGAAAAGCCTAATTATCAAATTGTATGCATTGATGATGAAATATAAATCAGTTGATGAATACAGGCGGTAGGTGGGTACACTAGTGTTTGAGTCACCTAGCTACAATTCAAATTAACCTGAACAGATTTTCCATACAGTACATCAGGCCTAATGATACTGACCAGAAGAGCTCTTCATATCCAAGTATACGGTGGAAGATGATTCGAAAATTAATCACCGAAATCAAATAACCGCATCCCAACAGAATCAATCTGTAACCCTTAACACGCTTAATATCCCATAAGCCATGCTGAATGCGTTAAAGGCGTATTATGATACTACACGGATGTCCATATCAAATTATCAAGTTAATCACTCATAATTTCGATAATACAACATAAAAATACTAGACAGAAATTTTCCTCTGCGAATCACAGCTCTCCAAAAGTGTGCATCTACAAATCCCCACACACAAAGCATTAAACTTGGAACCGTTAGATAGGTGGCTATTGACAACTACAAGTGTGAAGTGGAATAAAAATGACTGAAGATAATTTTCGATTCGTATTACCAATTGACAATGTGTTATTAGGACTATTTTTGAGTGCAAATTCACTTACATCAGATACTGGACACGGGTTAGTCGGAAGATTATTTGGAGTAGGAGTAGATTGAATCTTAGACTCTTGAATTTCAGGTAAAACAACAGAACTAGTGTTTGGTGGTGGTGAATGTTTAAATCGTACTTGAAGGATGTTATTTGTTGCTCCCGAAACTGCAACAGAACTTAGGCTACTTGAGGCAGAACACGCTGGTTCGATTACAGTGCTAGAATTAGATGGAGTAACAGTCGTTGTGCTTAGAATTGGATAGACTGAGGTGGTCAAGACATATACTGCAGCTGCTTGGGTTTGCTGGATATCTGAAGCTTGTGAACAATGTGAATTTGATGTGCGTAAGTGTCCACCAGAAGACACAGTATGAGACGGTGACGTAACCATGATCAGTGAACTATCAGCTGTACACACACGTGTTCCAAAACTACCTGCAGATGACGGCTGAAAACAAGTAGTATTTAGTAAAATAGAATTGGTACTGGCAATTGATGTAGTTGGGTTGTGCGTACGGATACTAAGCGTAGACCCATGAGTCCACTACTATTAGATGTGCTAACATTCGTGGAGCAACTGACTGATGAAATGGCCGTTGACGTATTCTGAAAAGGAAGGTTAGTCATTAAACCGTAATGACAGTTATAGTTTCAAGAATGCCAACATAAAGCATTACAATTAACACGGTACTAAATATTTGCTTGCAAAAAAGTAACAAAATTAGGAAGTCGGAATGACTACATCTGAAGTTGATGCAAACATATTGTAACGCGTTGAATAATGTAGGGTTGATGATATCTCGCTGAAATGAAAAGCCTTTTTAAACACATTTGATTTTAGAGCATTCTGTAGAATCTTCAATAACTGACAGAAGTATATTTTATAAATCGCCTAAACACAATTATTTGTAGTCCACCAAGCTACAAAGAGGTGGAAAAATGTGGCAACGCCGCCAGTGGAACACCGAAGCTAAAGAAACATTATTACTAGTTTTTCACCAAACTCGTCTAGATGAAACAGTACAAAACTACATCAATTCACGTTTACTTATGTCAGAATAATCTAAAGATGCAACACAAAAATGCAATGAAATCATAATGGACCGAGATGAAGATAAGTGAGGATTTTCATAATCTATCTAGTGACCAGAAGTGAATAAACTGTGGACCAAAACTCTCCAGTCACATTTATTCTTAGCATCTAAATGACTTCATACAGACAGTTTACACCACACTATATTGCCCAAATAAACACCTGATAACTGCATACATTGGTGCCGTGTGTTATTCTGACCATTACCCACCTATAACGCCTTTCCAATCTGATCCCATTTCAGCCAATATTGCTCGTTAATGGATTCAGCGCTGTGAAGTGCATTACACTTGTACTAGTTATCTGAATTGATCCAGCTTCATTGCCTCATCAACTCACTTTCTCACTTTGCATAGAGGCCTACACTTTATCTTATTATTGTTGATCATATTATTATAGCAGCTAACACGAGAAACAACACAGATAACTTTGGTTAGAAACCGCTATTTTTTTCTTGTCTCCCATGTACGACAGCCATATTTTAAGGGAAGGGGCGGATCGAATGTCTGAGAACTTCACACATATGCTTTGGTGGATTGGGATAATATCATGTCTGCACTAGGACCGAGTAACACCAAACAAACCAATTTTTATCTCTGTTTGAGATTGCGTCGGTAGCTAGTCAATTATGACTGATATAACTGCAGGAATAAGTAAAGTGGCTAACACAATCAACCACATCCATTTGTTACCAGCCGGATAACAATCTGTAATGTGTTACCTATCAACAGATGTAAAAACAAATAAACTAGGTGCTTGTTCAGATTAGAATATATTGATGGAAAGACTGGCCCAGAATTAAAACAAAGATTAACACTAATTTTATTATTTGCACGATTATTACGAAAAATGTCACTACAAATTGCACAAATTATAGACAGTAGTTAGGTGTATGTTAAGCTTACCCGGTAAACAGAATCAACCGCTGCAACACTTGACCGGATAGAATTACCTGATATCTGGGGAGAATGCGTCACTTGATTGCTGCACGCTGGTTGAGTAAAGTGATGTGGTTGAATATTTGGTTTAGCCATGGCAACTAGCGTAGTTGTTGACGGTAAAACACTGCGGCAACCTGACACCACAGAACTAAGAGTACACGAATTTGTTATACTATTCATACTAACCGAGGTTGATGCGGTGGTAGATGAGACAACAGAAACTGGGGTAACCATTACAGATGAGAAAGATGAGGCAAGTTGTTGCTTACGTGCTCTTTTCCGACTAGGTTGAGAAAAAATTGATGAGGTAGGAAGTCGGTGGGAACTAACACAAACAGATGTATTTTGAGAAAAATTTGACCGCGTATGAGATACTGAAGAGGTTGAAGAAATAGTCACCGATGGCTGTAATGGAGTTAATTTGGAAGGAGCGATATTAACAGGTAAAATGTGTGGCATCACAGGCGTATTGGAAGTAGTAACAGATGATCCAGTACTTCCACTACTTAAATTAAACGATTTTAGAAGTGATGCCGGGCCAACAGAAGCTGAACTAGTGCTTGGTATGTATCCAACAGCTGAAGGTCCACTAGCCTAGAAGTCATGAATTTAAAAAAAAACAGAGTTATGTAATACCATCAACAGGGCGCTATCCCATTGGTCAGTAACACATTAATACATTAGGAATAGCGATTTATAAAGGTATGCAACATTAGCGTTGTCTCCAATAGTTTATATACTAGAATGAAGCAATCGCTTGACTAACTGACTGGTTTCAACGTAGAACTTCGCACCGATATGCACCAATTTGAGTTGCCACACTTTATTTAGTCCCACCCGGTCAACATTGTGAATCTACAAAATTCATTTTAAGGGTGTCAGGAGACCCCTCAGCTGGTTAGCGAGGACTCGCAGGTGTAGGAATAGCATTCACTGTTAGGGCAGAAAAATCACTTCTTGACTGGATCCCAGCAGAGAGTCGTATGTGTTGCAATCCATCTGAATGGGGCCAATAGAAGGAGGAAAGACGGCGTTACCTGTCATTGTCTTTTCGTAGTCTCCACTTACACCCCAACAGACTGCAGTTCGGATGAACTAAAAGATGATTTCTATCTGAAACTGTCTAATTTGCTGCAAAAAGCAAAAGCTTAGATATAGTTGTTTTAGCAGGCGACTTCAATGCCCAAGTAGAGGAGTTGTGCCAGACTGAGAAGTACGTAGGTGGCAAGTACGGAGTTCCCTGCCGACGAACCGACAACGGTGATCGTCTTCTACAGTTTTGCTCAGATAATCATCTGTTTCTAGTCAACACTAACTTTAGGCAGAAAGAGACCCTGCGTAACCTGGTGACCTCCATCACCAAATCAACGCTGGACACAGGTAGACTACATAGCCATAGGGTATCGTTGGCGAGGGTCAGTAGAAGACTGCCACTCCTTCTGAAACACGTGCGTAAACTGCGATCACAAAACATTCACTTAGTGTTTAAGGTCAGAATTCAAAGATAAATAACCACTTACACGAACTATCAGTGGGGAAGTTGAATTGCAAGGATTTAACTGACGTACAGGATTTGTAAACATTCCTGTTGCGTTTGTGGATGTAGTAGGACTATGTACACTTGAATTTGCTAAATTGAAAGCCAATACTGTATGATTAGCTGCACTTAAGGGTAGGGTAGGCCCAGCTGTCGACGAACTCCCAGGAAGACTTCGGAGAGACATCATTAAACTTGGATTTAAAGATGATGAATTAGTTATAGTCGACTGCCCAGATATATCAGATGGGGCTTGAACAATAAGAGACTGTGACGATTGAATAGTGACAACATTACCAGTTGGTGCAGAAACGATTGAAACATTGGGATTTACCGTTAATCCTGACCACACACTACCTGTACTGGTTACGGACGGCCTTGATGTCAACATTCCTGTCTGTGGAAGTGACGCTGAGAAAGACACAACATTGGCACCAGATGAAGACACACTGCAGGTAGACTTTGCAGTGGTGCATACAGTAGATGGAGGTGTAATCAAACGAACAGTAGCAGATAGTGGTGTAGAAAAATTGACCAATTTCGCTGCAAGACAAGTATGAGAACAAAAAAATTCAAAATGTTACTTTTACATCACTAATATAGCAGTCTTTAATCTGTATCTTTTCAAAACATTCATTCATCTTTACTCTGATCGTCAGTTGTCAGTGATATAATGACGGCCTGCATGACATCATCTTATTTCAAAAACAGCTAGTTTCATGTCGTGCACGATGACGGCAACAACACATGTCTTGGACGTTTCAGGTTTATCACTGTTTACTTATAATCTTGCAGGGGTTGAAATAGATCGTGTTACGTTGGTGGTAATAGATGCACTACTACATATTCCTAGAAAGCAATAAACTAATTTATTTTGAAGATGGAAATATATGTAAGTTATGTGTAATTCATCTCTATATGCAATAATTAAACATGAACTTAGCATTATTTAGCTGTTTTGGGGGAAATCTTTCTCTCTTATCAACAATATACTTTTAAGCAGCAATTCTTACTGAAGTTGTAGTATTTTGACAGAAAAAAAGCATTAAACTATACTTACCTTTTGATACCTGTGCGGAATGAGAACTTGCCTGGTCGTGCAAAACGATAGTTGAATTCGACAAACTAACAGAAGTGATGCAGCCTGAATTAGGATCAGAGGATAAACTTATCTTATTGGTTGAGGTGAGGACTGAACTTGTGAGATTCTCTATCAAAGAGGAATGTGAGACATTTTGTGGTTTATGAATAAGAACACGAGAAGTGGAACACAGCGCAGAACTCATCAGCAGACTGCCTGATACACAAGAGGCAGGAGTAGGGAAGTTCAAAGCGGTCAAACAATGTGATCTTTGAGATTGTGATGATGTGGTGGTACTAGTTGAAGATGGTTCAAAAACCAATGGGCATGAACTTGCATTTGTTGCGGTGGCAGTAACTGCAGTTCCACAGTGAGACGGTGTACGAGATGCAAACCTAAAAGTAGAAGTAAAGCCACTTCAAATGACTCAGAAGACATACATACGAGCATAGCAACAAACTGAAAAAAGATGAAACAATCCACACTGATGTGATCTTCGTGTTACTAGGAGAAATACTTCCGTAGCATTTTCATTGACTAAGGAAAGTGTCGCTAATATACAGAAACTTTTACATCATGAAATAATTTCCCAACAACCTGTGGGGACATCGACAGCTGACATTTCAGATATGAAACAGATCCAAGTGTTTACTAAAAACTATATTTATCCCATTACAAATTATTTAAATTAATCCCAGCGTGTTAAAAAAATCAAAACAAGATTTTTCTGAACGTTTCGCCGTGTAAGCCACAGCTTCTTTAGCAGACTTCATATTTATCCCAGTTAAACTAAGTTTTATAATTAACAGGCACACTGCTCTTTGGTTAAATTTATGGAAGTTAGCTGAGAAACTGTACACAACAGAATTCAAAAATAGTAGTATATCAGTTAGACTTCAGTAGCCAATAAAATGCTCTACTGCCAATAATAGTGGAAATAATGGATTGTCTTGCAATTGTAGAAAAATATCTGATTCAAAAAGTTGTTGCTCTCTCTCTCTCTCCCTCTAATTATGATTTCAACGACATTTATTCGAATTTCTCTGTAAGTCTCAAATTCCTTAGGATGAAAAGTGCCAAACCTTACAAATTTGACATTGTAAACAATCTTACTCCCTCCTCTGTCATAAGCTTAGACAGTCAATTAAATAACTGATTCACTAAAAATGAAGTTGAGGTCATGGAGAGTGAAAGACAAGTATCAAAAAACAACGTAGACGTTTCTCACAACCAGGAAAACGCTAACTTAAAAACAACAGTGAGGATCAAATTGCAAGAGATTGGAAATGTTAATCCAGAGTAAGCAGTATTGCAAACAGCTAAATGTTAGTTTTCATACAGGACATTAAGTCATTACATACTTATAAAAGGTGATACATCCTACAGTGTTTTAATTTAGAGAACTACAAGATTATCCCTATTGTTTTATGCAAAACTATTCACACATAACCACCAAAAATACTTCAAAGACCTGCTAATATACTTCAAAAAACATTTGTTATGAAAAACGCACAAACCTTAAGGCAAGTGTCGGTTGGATGTGACTTGACGCTTGCGGTGATATTACAACAGATGCGACTGATGGTGGTGTGGAGCATGTCTTACCAATCAATGAAGCAACAAGTGCAGTGGACGTCGGAGCACTGGTGACTACAGAAGGATTTGGCCGAGGATTGTGTATTACATTTGGTATTGGTAGACAAGATGCAGCAGTCGCGGTGTTTGCTTGTAGAAAAATACCCTGACTTGACGATGTGACGCTATTACTCGTTGAATAACTACTCAAATGAAGTTGTAGTGGTGTTCCTGTACTTGACGTTGGTGCATGCATTGCAGAGGTAGCAGCCAATATCAGAGGAAAAAATTGACTGGTAGTATTTATTGGAGATGAGACAGACGTAGCAGACATAGGTAGACTCGAAATGTGTGATTGAGGGGTATTTATTCCGGAAACAGACGAAGAAGTGAGCCCAGTAGGTTGCAATATTGTTTGATTTATCAAGCCAGAGAGTGGTTGTTGCACACTAAGTAAGACACGTGGAAAGAATGGGACTGTCTTCGATGAAGTACAAGTAGTGTTTTGCACAGTGGAAGTGCAAACATGTACCTGACGATCTGAATCTGGATAAAATTAAGAAACATCTAATATAACACAAAAATAAGACTTCTAGAGCAAATGAAGATAGAGGGTATAACCAAACCTGATTATAACGTTCCACTAATACTCAATAAAGCCACTCGTAAGTCAAAATGAGCCAAATGAAATATGGAATATATCTATCAAATGTAGGCAACAGGTATACGTCACAAATAATATGTTAGTGGTGAACCACAAAGATTTTGTATCTCACTAACGCTTTCTAAACAGCCACATAACGAAATGCCCTATGGTTATAAATACCCAGATCACAGTCGTTAATGTAATTTGCCCTTATTTTTCACATAAAATGATATGGCAAGCAAATGTGTGATTAAATTGTTCAAAATGTATTGTGCAAATACATCACGTTTTTCAAATAATCTCCATCATTCAATAAAACCCTCATTCACTACGACGACGACGGATATGCATAAATGCATACCCAGAGGCTATAAAATGAATACTTGCGTATAACCTGTCGTATGATACACAAAACGTATTTTGTCTCTTACCGGAAGCCTTGCTTTACTCGCAGAAAGTTACGTACGAAAGTTTGCGGGACAACTCAGAGCAGTAAATAGACCTTAGGTGCGACGTTTACACGCCTAACCATGATTCCAGCAAAATATCCACCTTTGTTTCGCTTTACCCTGACCTTTATTTTACAAGACTGAATTCAACTGTTACACTGCTTTCATATTACCTACCTGACGCATCGGTTAAAAACCAAAAAGGGTTCAGTACCAAGGTGACGGCGTAAATGTGCTAATAAATACGGTGTGGTTAGGTCATAAAAATATTTGAAACTTCGAGATGAGGAAATACGACAGAAGTGACCAGACAGGCTTTAAATATGTTTAAAGCCAGCTAGCATTTTTTCGGGCGCATTGCAGACTTTTTGGGGCAAAAACTTCGGGTAGATCTACTTACGTGGGACAGTGTCCCGAAAAGTCTGCAATGCGCTCGAAATAAATGCTAGCTGGGTAAACCAATGACTTGTCACATATAGAGAAGTGGAAGGATGTCGCAACTCTTCCCGACAACAAACCAAGCAACTGAACGGCTTGACAACAGCTAAGAGTACCAAAACCCACTAACAGGGATAAAAAAAGAAAACTACCATTGTTGCCATATATGGCCACACAATTATACTAGTGTCAACACACCAAACAATCGACAAAATAACACAAAAACATATAACGACATATAAGAAGACAAGACAGCATACCCTTGGCTACTTTAATTGGTGACAAGACCTGGTTGATATCGTTGTCAATATCCATATGTATCATGAATGTACCCAACAAGGCGTATATGAATATGTGGAAAATACAGCACCCAAACTCAATGAAAGAAAACTGAAACCTGTCATTCTGTACTCTTCACAGACTTTATGATGCCAAATGGACACCACCGACAGATATCTTGACCCAAAACACGGACAACAGCCCCACAACAGGATCTAAAAAACGAAAGCAAACAGTTCTGCCCCGACCCTCACGATCCACTTGATACAAACAAACAGTGGGCTTTACATTCAATCGTCAATTTGACAAATGTTGAACCACTTGAGCCGCAATGAGGTTTCTGCCACGGTGATAGGATAGGTCCGTACAAACTTTGAAAAGGTAGTAAGTTTCTTGACAGCCGTTCAAGCCTCATCCACTCAAAGAGATAGCAGGCAGACAAAACCAAAAATAGATTTCGAAGAGGTTACCAGTGAATGGCCAAATTTAGATTCCCGCAAAATGGCGAGACGCAACTACCATAGAACTCACACTGTCCAGGGAGGACAGAAAGACGCTTTCAACGCACAGGTAAAAAGCCATCCCAAGCAAACTTGATCTCACCAACAGGTAGCCAATACTGCACAAATTGGAAGCGTCAGTGGCTTAGTATCAAAAGACCGGATTTGAGCATGAGCCCACCCTAATCAAATCAATCTGTGACAAGTTGCTGTCTACTGTATCAGTCTCAACCATTCATTGTTTTTTACAGAGTCCACTAAGAGACTCTCTCCACAGTTAATCAGCCGGCACACCGAAGTTTTACTGAACTCAAAGACATAATGATACTATACTAAGCGATTAAAATATCAAAGGATCGGGGATATACGTCGGTGCTGCCATATTCTTAGCATACGGTCTTCAGCTCTGGAATTAAGGGGATGGTGTCGAAAGGACGAGAAAATCCTTATTATAATGGGTTTCCGAGTTGTCATGTTTCGATATCTGATGCTCTCGACACTCCTATGGGTAGAGCACAGAAGCACCAAACTTGTAGTTAGTTGAACAAAGAGACTGATCTCGATATTACGGTAAAGTCCAGAAATTCGAATATCATTATCAGTACAAGACATGGATCACATCCGATTTCACCGATAACGAAGTTAATTTATCAAATTTCTAAGTGCATAGGTCGGACAAACTAAGTTAAAACGGGGGCAGTCACTTACCTCAAGAAGTGCTCAACCCTAGTTCGTGTGCGTTGGGGCACAGTAGTGAGGACTCCCGCCGATCATGCACATGGTCCGGAGTTCGATCCTCTGCCGACGCACACCTGATATATATGGTCGGCCTGCAAAATTTGGGCTACCGATATCACATGCTAAAAGTTCCATACCTGTACCGAAAATACGGTGTGGAAAAAAGCTGTAATCAAAAGATGAAACTTTATCAGACGAAAGTGGAACATGCGAATTTCTAAGCTTATTTAAATGCAAAGGCCAAAGTACTGACTTCGTTGTAGACGACTTTCTGATACGTAATCTAGGCCCTTGGATATCTGGGTGTCGGAGTCTCGTATTCGGCAACCTTAACCTTCCAGCATCTGGTCGGACAAGCTTAATAATGCAGTTCTCAGGTGACTGTCTTAGATGTAAATTGTTGGAATCTAATATTTGTTAGCCGTGGTAACGCAGCCCACATGTTAAGATTTACTCACAGCACTCCTCGCCAACTCTGAACCTGGTATTCTCCAAAGATGATGACGTGAACCATAAACAACATTTCCTTCCCTTCAAAAGAAGTGATACTTTTCTGCTCACCGTCGATTTCAAAACGATAGTATGAGTGGTTAAGACTCTATCTCGACCAAACGCTTGGAAGGCTGATATGAATGCCATCGTCTCAGGGGCCTGAAATGGGATAGATATCCATAATCTCAAGTAGAAGCCTCGTGGAACCAATATAAGCAAATTCACGCTAAGGTAACCGAGCATTCCTTTCGTTAGTCTCTCATCAAGGGTGGCAAAAATTATACACTAAGGGCTCAAGCGCAAGCTTAAATCCTAGATCATACTTATCACACTTTAGATTTCTCAGGCCAGAAAGTTACCCACAGACATACCACCTAAGTTATCGTAGAAGTCCACCAACCGGGGAACAAGTGGGAAAATGTATAACGCCCAGTCCGCAGACAGGAAAACGCATATTCCTGGGGAAATAGCTGACATAGTGTCGACACCAAACGCGGATACTAATATCTCTAAAACATTAATATCTGCTTATCACACAGCTGTCTTTCACTGCATACCCCATGCAAACAGCAAACCATCCCTGACTTCCACCTCAAAAACCTACCTGAAGTCTTTCTATGATCCAAAGATAATGTTTTATTGAGTCCAAATACATGTAAACAAAGGTTACTCTCGGAATATTTTACCAAGATGTTGTCCGCTCACTGAAACCACGTAGCCAGTGTTTATCTACTATCCTAGTAAATACGAGATCAGTTCTAAGCAAACACTTAACACTAAGTACATAAGCTTACATACGCAGACCGTCATTGATTATGATCACTGAAGCCTGGTACACAAGTGAAATCTCCAGTGACAGTCTAAGGATTGATAAACACAACCTTTTTCGGAGGGACGGACAGGTCGTGGTGGTGGAACACTAATTTACTGTGAACAATCCATGTGTGCAACCCAGTTCAGTAACCCAATTCTGTCACAACTCAATGACTCGATCTGGGTAGAAATAAAAGTTGTCAGAAGTAAACCTATACTTGTGGGTTGTGTGTACCGGCCCCCTTCATCCAGCAGGGAATATGATAATATGCTCAGCAATATTTTTGATGTTGCAAGTTATAAAATTATCGGAGGTGATTTCAACATGCCAGAAGTATCATGGCCTGCACTCCGAGGACCCCAAAGTTATGATAATCTCCTGAATTCACAGAGTATTGATTAGCTGTCTATCAAATAGTCTATCCATCTGTCACGATTAACAGGCTCTCAACATGAAAACAAAATAGCGGTTTTACAGATCTAAGATATAGAAACAAATATATACTTTTGCAGCAGCCAAATACAAGCCTGATCAGAAAGTGGGCGCCATAGAAAAACGTGACATAAAGGTACAGCAGAAAATGTATTACGAGTTAATAATTTTAGAACAACGAATTCAATTCTCCCTGAAATTTCACTTACCTACCTCACGATATTTTTTATTTACGCAATATTATACTCTATTTAATCTTGACTACCTAGGTAGGTAGGACTTGCACCTTTTTAATAATAATAATAATAATAATAATAGTATATTCTCATTTTGTACATGAGAGACGCCAGTTTACAGGCATCATCAATATGATAAATTACATATACGATTAGCAATCATAATTAATAATAATGTTTTAATAAAATACACATTTTTTCCTACTTGTGTAGGACACACCAAATATACAGGCATGGATAAGCATTATATAAATTTCATAAATTTGGTTCATGGTTAAGTTACATGGTTGCTGGCGTTTTTGTCTTAGGTCTGTGGGAACAATATGATAACCAGTCATTCAATGGAGCACGTCATGAAATATAGGAATATTAACTTCGCATTAACAAAAAAACCCAAGTATGTTTTGGATGGATTAAAAATACTTGGGAAAAAATAAAGCTTGAGGTTATTCCACAATATAACAAGTCATTCAATGGAGCACATCATGAAGTATAGGAATAAATAAATAAATTTATTCTCATGATACAGTACATGAGGGACGCCAGTTTACAGGCATCATCAAATTGTTACAGAAATAGGATCATATTATTCAGTCACAATTTACAGTCGATAGCAAAATATGTTTAACATGTACACTGGAGATTATACGTACACTTGATAAATGTTAATCCGAATAGTATAAAACATCCTTTTCACTTATGTACAATCATTTCTGTGCATAGTTGGAAAAATCCGCTAGATTTTCAGTGAGTGCAACACATCAGGAAATACAGAAGTATTGTCTTCGCATTAACAAAAAAACCAGGTCTTTGGTGGATGGGTTATAAGTGCCTGGGAAAAAAATAAAGCTTGAAGTCAGTTTTCATACATAATTTTGTAGTGTACAGAATCCTTGAATTATAGTTCATTGATGTGTTATTTTGAAATCAGAGAAATGTTTATTTCATTTAAATAAGTAAATAGATGGATTGATTCTCTTGGTACAGTACATGAGGGACGCCAGTTTACAGGCATCATCAAATTGTTACAGAAATAGGATCATATTATTCAGTCACAATTTACAGTCGATAGCAAAATATGTTTAACATGTACACTGGAGATTATACGTACACTTGATAAATGTTAATCCGAATAGTATAAAACATCCTTTTCACTTATGTACAATCATTTCTGTGCATAGTTGGAAAAATCCGCTAGATTTTCAGTGAGTGCAACACATCAGGAAATACAGAAGTATTGTCTTCGCATTAACAAAAAAACCAGGTCTTTGGTGGATGGGTTATAAGTGCCTGGGAAAAAAATAAAGCTTGAAGTCAGTTTTCATACATAATTTTGTAGTGTACAGAATCCTTGAATTATAGTTCATTGATGTGTTATTTTGAAATCAGAGAAATGTTTATTTCATTTAAATAAGTAAATAGATGGATTGATTCTCTTGGTACAGTACATGAGGGACGCCAGTTTACAGGCATCATCAAATTGTTACAGAAATAGGATCATATTATTCAGTCACAATTTACAGTCGATAGCAAAATATGTTTAACATGTACACTGGAGATTATACGTACACTTGATAAATGTTAATCCGAATAGTATAAAACATCCTTTTCACTTATGTACAATCATTTCTGTGCATAGTTGGAAAAATCCGCTAGATTTTCAGTGAGTGCAACACATCAGGAAATACAGAAGTATTGTCTTCGCATTAACAAAAAAACCAGGTCTTTGGTGGATGGGTTATAAGTGCCTGGGAAAAAAATAAAGCTTGAAGTCAGTTTTCATACATAATTTTGTAGTGTACAGAATCCTTGAATTATAGTTCATTGATGTGT